CTTCACTACCGCAGCTCCTCTGGCTCTCAGTGTGCTTTTCTTTCCTTCTAGTTGTAGAATTTACACTCAGCCAGCCTTCCTGTAGTTCTGGATGATGTCCGTTTTGTCTTTTTGTTGTATTGTTCAATTGTTGTGGGAGGCAGCAATTTCCCGGTGTTTATCTATGCCGCCATCTTAGTTTCTCTATAATTTTTTAATATATTCTGATACTAGTTCCTTATCAGATGTATGATTTGCAAATATTTTGTCACAGCCCATTGGTTGTTTTTTCACTTCCTTTTTTTATTAATTTAATTTATTGGGGTTGACATTGGTTAATAAAACTATATAGATTTTAGGTGTGCAATCCTATAACATTAGTTATTTTGTATTGTGTGTTCACCACCCCAAGTCAAGTCTCCTTCCATCACCATTTACCCCCCTTACACTTTCTTCTACCTCCACCTTTCCCTCTTGGTAATCAGCATGCTGTTGTTTGTGTCTGTGAGATTTGTTGTTGTTGTTGCTTAATCCTTTCACCTTTTCCACCTGACCCCCTTCCTCTGACAGCTGTCAGTCTGTTCTCTACTTATGAGTCTGTCTTTTCATGTTTTTGATGGTGTCCTTTGAAGCACAAAAGTTTTATGTTTATTGAGATATAATTCACATACCATAAAACAGCACAAAGTTTTAAATTTCAATGAAGTCCAATTTATCTTTTTTGTTGTTGTTGCTTGTGCTTTTGGTGTTGTCTAAGAAGGCTTTGCCTAACTAAAGGTCATGAAGATTTACTTCTATGGTTTTTACTAAGAGTTTTTAAGTTTTAACTCTTACATTTAGGTCTTCAAAATATTTGGAATTAATTTTTGTATGTGGTGTGAGGTAAGAAGCCAACTTTGGCCCTAGCTGGTTTGGCTTTGCAGATAGAGTACTGGCCTGTGGACTGAAGGGTTCCAGGTTCAATTCCAGCCAAGGGTACGTGCCTGGGTTGTGGGCTCGATACCCAGTAGGGGGTGTGCAGTAGGCAGCTCATCAATGATTCCCTCATCATTGATGTTTCAATCTCTCTCTCCCTCTCCCTTCCTCTCTGAAATTAATAAAAATCTATTTTAAAAAATAAAATAAAATATTTTTAAAAAGAATCCAACTTTGACATGTAAATACCCCATTATCCCAGTACCATTTGTTGAAAATATCCTTTACCCCAGTAAAATGTCTTGGCACCCTTGTCAAAAATCAATTGACCATAAATGTAAGGGTTTGTTTTTGGGTATAATTCTATTCCATTGTTCTATATGTCTATCCATATGCTGGTATTACATGGTCTTGATCACTATAGCTTTGTAGTAGGTTTTCAAATTGGAAAGTTTGAGTCTTCAAACTTTGTTCTTACTTGGCTCAAGTAAGCTTTTTTTAAAAAATATATTTTATTGATTTTTTATGGAGAGGAAAGGAGAGGGAGAGGGAGAGAGAGAGAGAATTAGAAACATTGATGAGAGAGAAACATTGATCAGCTGCCTCCTGCACACTCCCCACCAGGGTTGTGCCCGCAACCAAGGTACATGCCCTTGACTGGAATCGAACCTGGGACCCTTCAGTCCACAGGCCGATGCTCTATCCACTGAGCCAAACCGGTTAGGGCTCAAGTAAGCTTTTTGAAGACAATGGAATGTTGTAGTCCAGAAGTGAAGTTCTGGAGGCTGCAGACTTGGGTTTGAATCTGCCACTGATTAACATTTACTTGGAGGAAGAATAGCATGATTGTTAACAATTTGAGGCAGGCTGCCTGGGTTCAGATCCTATACCATAATAACTGTGATCTCAGGCAAGTTACTTAACTTCTTTGTTTCAAAGTTTCCTCATTCTTAACAAGGGTAAGGTAATGATTGTGTCAACTTCATAAAATCATTAACTATGTGTGAAGCTCTCAGCACAGTGTCTGGTTCACAGAAGGGGTTCGGTGAATGCTAGCAATAAGTTTCTAGAGCATGACCCTGGGCATAGAGTTTTACTCCATGAACCATCTCTCCTTACCTGTAAAAGTATGGTAATAATACCTTGATTCGTTCATGCAATACATACTATGGGTCAGATTCTCTTTTACAATGGAGTGGGGGTACAGTGATAAACAACATAGCCAGGTTTTTCTTATGGATTCAGCCCATCAGCAGAGCAATCGGTAAATACATACATACAATAATTTATGAAGGGTAATCCATGCAGAGATGAAAGCTTGTGCAAAGGTGATTAGACCCATTCAGTGTCTCACCCTGGTCTCGAAGCCCACTTTGGCCTGAGTGCAGCCTTCCTGCATATGCTTGATCCGTACACTTGGAGTACCCTTCTTCCCTCCTTCCATCTCCACCCTAAGCCCTGCCTGCCCTTCTCAGCCCAGCCGGGATTCTGGCATCTCTGGGAGGTTGTCTCTGGCTGCCCCCTGACCCTCTTCCCCAGTCTTTTCTGTCTACTGTCCCATCCCACCTTTACCCCAGGTCCCAGCCCCCAAACCTCGCTATCTTTTGACTATTGAGGGTGGCAGAGAGCCTCATTTCTGGAGGGAAAGTGGAAACCTCAAGAGTGGGCCTGGGATTAGTAGTTCTGGGTGCCAGGTTCATTCCCGCCATCACGATTTTGCTTATCCCCATGCTGCCCTTCTCTATGTATTCCCTACATTCAAATTCTATCTGAAGACCGTGGCCCTGGACTCACCTCCTCCAGGAAGACCTCCTGACTGCCTCCACAGTCCTCTACCCCTTTCCTAGCCTGGTCTGTCTTCCATCCCAGCTCCAAACCTAGACCATGTTTTCTGACCTTACCCAGGTGGAGATTCTATTCTCCCTACCCAGCCCGGGAAAACAGGTTATCAAAGGTGGGGTCAAGGCAGGGGGCCCAGAGTTTATCTTAAAGACACACCTGTGAGGCCATCTCGCCCTCAGTCGTCCGAGGCTCTGGTCCGCAAGGGCCACCTGACGGGGCTGAAGCCTGTGGTGCTGGTCATCTTCCAGTCCCCAGTTAATGTCAATCGCTGGAAGTTAGAACACCTGCAGATCCAGATGGAGGCAGCCCCTTTCCGCAGCGAAGGTAGGCCTGCGGGGTGCCTAGAGGGGTGGGGGATTTCTGGGGGCCTCAGAGGGGTTCATGACTTGGAAGGGGAGGTTGGGGGCATCAGAGAAGTCCATGACCTGGTGGATATGTGGGGTTTGTTGGGGGCCCTCAGTGACATCTGTGACCTGGAGGAGGGGAGGGGGGGAGGCTTCAACAGGTTGCATGGCCTAGATGGGGCTACACAGAGGCCCCAGTGGGGTTCATGGTGTAGAGCGGGACATGGGAAGTTGCAGGGAGATCCCAGTTGCCTCAGTGCCCCCTGCTTGCCAGCAGAGCAGTGCAGTGCAGAGGAGATGTGTATCATGAGCTGGTACACACCCATGCCCATCAAGAATGGCAGTGTGGTCATGCGTGTGGATGTCAGCAGCAATGGTCTCGGGCCCTTCATCCCCAATAAAAGGTACCCTTCCCCACACCCAGGTAGGGGGTGGATTCTGGGAGGGACTTCCTTATCTCCACATTCCCAAAGAAACCAGGAGGAGACCAATGGGAGGGAGTAGGCTGGGGAGGTGGCTATGAGCCGTGGCAGGAGTCCCTGAACCCAAACCCTTGCCTGTGCCTGCTTCACACCGCTGCCAGGTTTCTGGTGAACATCAATGGCTTCTTGAAGAGACAGCAAGACAACAGACTCCAGTTCACTGTGGGAAATGAGGTAAGCGGGCCTGGATAGTGGGCACAGAAGATGTGGGTTACAGACAGTGGCCCAGGGCTCTGATTACTCCCCCAAGTGGCACGCTCCACTCAGAGCAGCGGTTGCCAACCTTTCAGACCACCAGTGAGCCACAGACCGCCAGTTGGCAACTGCTGACTTAGAGCACTTACTTTGTGCCAGGCCCCAGGGGAAGTGTTCTACTAAAGCACAATCACATTACATCTTCAACACTGACCCTGTGAGGGAAGGTACTCTTACACACCCATTTTAGAGAGGGTAAAACAGGCTTGAAAGGGATGGGACCATTTGTGCAGTCTCTCAGCATGTACATATGGAACAAGACCTGAAGCTGTGTCTGCCTGACTCCTGCACACATATTCTTAATCAGAGTCCATTCATTCAGTCATTCAGCAGGCACTTACTGAGCACAAGGCATCCCCATGCGAACAAAACAGTGGACACACAGACCCAAGTCCCTGACCTCTTAGAGCTGACATTCTAGTGGGAGAGACATATAGCAAACCAGTAAACATGAAATCAAGTAAATTCTATGGTAGGTGAAAGGTGGAAAGTGCTCTGGATTGAATTCAGACAGAGTGCAGTGGATAGGGTCTGTGCAGGAGGGGACTGCAGTGTTTGATGGAATGGTCAAGAAAGGTAGAATTGAGCCCTGACCAGTGTGGCTCAGTGGTAGAGTGTCAGCCTGTGCACCAAAGGGTCTTGGGTTTGATTCCCGGGCGAGGGCATGTACCTGGGTTGCAGGTTCTATCCCTGCCCTGGTCAGGGCATGTGCAGGACGCAACCAATTCCAACTGATGTCTCTCTCATACATTGATATTTCTCTCTCTCTCTCTCTCTCTCTCTCTCTCTCTCTCTCTCTCTCTCTCCTTCTTTCCTACTCTCCCTCTCTCCCTCCCTCTTCCCTCCTTCCCTTCCACTCTCTCTAAAAATCAATGGAAAAATGTCCTCTGGTGAAGATTAATGAAAAAAAAAAGAAAGAAAGGCAGAATTGAGAAGGCTGACATTTGAATAAAGCCTTGAAGGAGAAGAGGAGGGAATCATGTGGATCCTAGGGGAAGAGCATTGTATACAGAGGGAACAGCCAGTGCACAGGCTCTGAAGTGGGAATGTGCTGGGCAGTCTGGGAAGCAGGAGGCCAATGTATCTTGGAA